CTGCCACCTCTGCCAAGTCCCTTTTGCGGTATAAGGTCACTGGTTACGGGTTCCAGGCCTCATTAGGCAGAGGACATCACCGAAGGCCTTTATCTAAGCCCACCACAACCCTCCAGGGATAGTCACAGACCTTCTTATTTATTTACTTTTAAAATTAAGAACTCAAAGGAGTTATCTAGAAGGAGGAGCAGACTGGACCACTATAACCATGAGGTTCTGGCCCCCAGGTAAAGGTTTTCCCTGCCTGCCTCCTCAATAGCTAATATCTGCTACAACCACCATCTCTGAACAGATAAGGGCTTATTATTGGCTAATTCTGTATTTGTTGGTCATCTCGTCCAGTTTAAATGAAAACAAAACAAAACAAAACAAAACACAAAGCAAAAAAACCTCTACATATACCCCAGAGTCCACACCAGGTCACCACTGGCTTCTGGAGGCTTAGCACACACTCACATACACACACATTATCGCTATGCTTTAGAAAACCATGGACCCAAATGGCTGCTTTCTAGTTGTAAGTGTTCAATCAAATTTTATTGGAAGGATGGATGGACACACTCAGGAGCCACAGAGATAAAAGTAAGCCCATCAGTTCATTCCTGCGGCATTAGTCTGTCGATTTCCCCAAACTGAAGAAGTGGAATCACTTTTGCAAAGAAATAGAAGAGAATGTGTAAAGCTGGGCCTTGACCCTGGAGGAGAAGGGTTCAATCCTTCTTGTTGCCCCCGTCCCTCCCCAGTTCCCCCACCTCTCTAGTAATACCAATTTCTTGGAAGTCACCAACAGCAGTGCCTCTGCTGTTATTCTCCCAGGACCCCAGAAGCCCTAAGCTAAGGCATGAATCTAGGCTGGCAAGTAGACATCGACACTTTCAGAAGTAGAGCACACAGGATAGGAAGATGCCAGAAGAAGCCTCATGGATTAGAACAGTGACATTCCACTACTTCTCCACTGGCCTTCCCGCACGAAGTTTTCCTAGGAGCATCCCAAACGTGTCCCTCAAGACACGTTATCTTGGCTTGATCAATATGGCTTAATCACTGTGACAAGTGGGGATGGCTGCAAAATGTTAAATGTGGACAATGGAAATGTTCTTGACCGCTTCCTCTACCAAATTAACCAATGTCAACAACAGTACAAGGGAACAGTACAATTACAAGTCATTTGGTGCTTCAATCAAATATCATTTGTCAAGGAAGGCTAAGGAAACAGATTCTCTGACTATTTTAGTTGGGAGTCCAAAGAGACTTCCTCCTTGATGCACTGAAGAAGTGCACTTGAGTGTGTGTGTGTGTGTGTGTGTGCGTGTGTGTGTGTGTGTTGGGTGGGGTGCAGTATCACTTCGATAATAGATGACATACACCTTGGGATCTAGGATAACTTAGCTTTTAATTGTAATGATATGTGTGCCTTTGCTACAATATCTCAGAGCATTTATTAAGGGTCTCTTGAGGTTGTTGTCCTAAGTGTCCTCCTCGTAAGCACTGATGTACATGGCATATGAATGATGAATGGGTTAAAAGGTACAAAGGCATTAACGATGAAACCCAGACACAATGAAGATTGGAGTTACAAGAGAGCAGAGCTGAAATCCCAAGATAAGATGAAGATCCCCAAACTAGAGCTGTCAGATATGAAAATATAAACATGATTCCAAAAGGATGAATGAAAGAAAGATAAAGACACAGGTAGAAGTCCCACCCCCAGGCACCTGGGTGGCACAGTCAGTTATGTGTCCAACTCTTGGTTTCAGTTCAGGTTGTGATCTCAGGGTCCTGAGATGGAGCCCTGCATCAGGCTCCACACTCAGCCTGGAGTCTGCTCTCTCCTCTGCTCCTCCCCCCCCCCCAAAAAATAAATAAACCTTAAAAAAAAAAAAAAGAAAAGAAAAAAGAAATCTCCTGCCCCAAGAGCTACAAGACAACAAGGCACCACCACCTGGGTCAGCAAAATGATACATTGTATTTGTTTGTTAAGATAATAACCAATGTCAACAATAGTACAAGGGAACAGGCAGCTCTCAGAGCAGGAGTGAAAATGGCAGGGCTCTTCTGGAAATAATTGGGGCACAATGTACTAAGAACCTCTGAAACATTAACTTTTGGCTCTGTGATCCTTCTTCTAGGAATCTATCCTAAGGAAATAATCAGCAAAACAAGGATTTATGTACAAAGATATCTGAACTTTGAGGAAAGGAGACTGGAATTAACCAGAGAAAAATGACTGAGCCAATTATGACAAATCCACATGGTGCAATCTGATGCAGATTTTGAAAATGGAATTCAAAGAATATCATGTGAAATTATCATAAAGTAATGTTAGGTAAAAAGCAAGATATACAACTATCATTGTGATCCTAATTTTATATTAACAATGACATATAAGTGCAGGAGATGAGGCTAACACAGCAAAATGTTACTGTTCCATGGATCTTTGGAGGAACAGGATTATGGGAGATTTCTATTTTCTCCTTCAAAGTTATGGAGGTTTTTTTCAAACTTTACATAAGCATGTGTTACATTTAAAATTAGAAGACTGCCAGTACAGGGTACCAGAGCACTACAGGAAGGAGGCAAAGGCAGTGGACTTTTCTATGGCCTGTGGATAGCATCTCACCTCGTCCCCAGGAGCCCCTCTGAGCTCAAGTCACAAGAGAATCCTTCCCCTATTTCCAACACCCAACCCCAAAGACTAGATGAAGGAGGAGAGAAAAGGAGGAGGCAGGGGAAGAAGGCAGGAGGAAGATAAAACAAGACAGAAACACTTAAAAGCAGAATTTTTCAATCCTGGGTGCACTGGGAATCACCCACGGAAATTTTTTAAAAATCTCCAAGCCTGGGCTCTGTCCACGACTTGCTGAATTAAAGTGTCTCTTCGAGCAGGGCCCTGATGTTAGTATTTTAAAATGCTCTCCAGGGAAATCTAAGGTCTAAGAAACCCAGATGTAGATCTAGTGGTTTTCAAATGTTAGTATGCATTCAAATCATCCAGAAGTCTAGTTAAAACACAAATCATGGGCTCTGCACCCAGTTTCCAATTGCTAAGTCTGAGGAGAGGCCTGAGAATTTGCATTTGTACCAAGTTCCCAGGTAATGATGCTAGTGCTGGTCCAAGGACCACACTTTGAGAATTTGGATTTGCCCTGGTGACCCTGAGTTCCACAACAGGTTCTCAGATAAATTTTAGTGACAAACCAGATTATTATTTCTGCCCCTAAACACTGACTTCTTTACCAAAGATGGCAAAGGGAAAATCAAGACAGAGAAAGGAAATGCCCATTCTGTGAGCAGCTGTAGCGAACCAGGAGTTCAACAAAATCCTTCACGTCTTCTAGAGCTCCTTTCATCTTTTCGTGAGGAGGGAACAGCCATTTCTATCATAGGAAAATGACAAGTGAGATCCAGAGTGATGGTAATTTGCCAGGGATAGGCAGCTCATGACGGGTGGAGGCCAAGATGAGACCAAGGCTTGTCAGACATCCAAGTCCTGGTGTTTGTCCTTCTGAAAACAGACACTCACTTGACTAAGAAAAAACCTTTCCTATAGGCAAAGATCATGCTGCCTGAAAAGACAGCACTTAAATAATATGGGGAAAACATCGGAGCAGATATGAGGTCATTATGCTTTTTCTTTTTTATTCTTATAATTCTTAGTCCAGGGAAAGAAGCAATGCATTCAGTACAGGAAAACAGGAAAACATTTGCTCACCCTGGCTTTATCACAAATCCAAACATATTTTCATTGCATCTGGCCAGTGTGTGTCTATGTGTGTGAAGAACGAACCCTTCAAAATCCAGTCAAGTTTAAAACACACTGAATGCTAACACTGAAGAGGATTACACTAAAATGGACATCCTGAGAGAGTTACAAAAGGCCAAGCACCCAACCATGGAAAGCTTCTGTATACATGTGAGATTTGGCTACTTCGATTTCAGGACTTAACTAGATGCACACCCTCCCTCCCAAAGCATGGCTGAGTCCGCCTCCACACCCCCAGAGTACACATCCTACCCACACCTTCTGTTCTGCCCTAGATTTCACTTGCCAGGGGAGCTCCTTAATGCCTGTGAATGTGAGGGGTGTTTTGTTCAAGTACGGGATGATTAGGTGGAAGAAAATTCTTCTTCTTCTTCCACCTCTCTTGGCAAATTCTCTTCTAAAAGGAGAATTCTGTGTTTGCTGTTAGGCAAAAAAAAAAAAAAAAAAAAAAAAAAAGGTGGGGGGAGCTCCGGTGGGGGAGGTGATAACCTTCAGCCCACTTATGAGTCTTCACCTGTACAGAAGTTATTCTAGGTATTTTCTAGGAACAAGATGGAACATTTTAGTAAAAACACAGACTAGCCCTGTCAGCACTACACTAGCTCTAGAAATCTATTTCACTATCATCGTTCTAATAATATGGATGCCACTCCTCAAACTGCTCCTTTGTAACCCCCTGAAGAAAGACTGACATGCCCGGTACCTCCAGCTCCAGGCTTTCTTTTTACAAAATAAGGATCTCAGCACCTGAACACTCCTGAAGATTCCTAGGCTTCATCATGTCCCAGAAAGCCCTCAATGCTGACTCAGGACCAACCATTCTTCTAGCGCTGAGAGGCTTTAGTCCATTTTTCTATTCCTGCCGTGGTTACGGTTGTTCATCTCTTTGCCTGGCTCAAAACACATGTACAAACATTCCCAGCAAGCTTAAAAATGGCACCAGGAGAACAGCCATGAATCTATGTCTTTCCTTCTGCCTTTAAGCTTTGATTATAGACAGTAATTTTCTCCTTCTTTCTGCAATCCACATCAGCCCTAATTAATTAAATTATTAAACCATAATTAGTTGAGTACAGTCTGTAAGGGGACAGCTCCAGCTCCTCTTGGAAGACTGCTTAAGAGATCCACCATGCCCTCAACCCTCCTGTGGCACATAAAGTGGCTTGGAAGCATCAATCTAAAATATTTGGGCTTAATCCAAACATTACCTGGGTTTGAAAAATGACCTGAAGACCCAGGTGAGGCAGGAACAGTTGTGTATTCCATATTTGATCTTTCCCTTGTCTTGAGTCTTAGAATTACTCATCTTAAGCTGCAAATCTGGCCACTGATATAAAGACTACATTTTCTAGGCTTTCTTATGGCCACATAACAACCTCGGGGTGGCCGGGTAACTATGTTCCTGGCAATAGGATGTAAGCAAAAGTACTGTGCACAACATTCAAGGAATGTCCTTATAAGAAATGGCCTGCCCTTCTTCCTCTCTTCTTCCGGAGTAGAATGAAGATGTGATGGCTGGAGCACAAGCAGACACATTAAACCATGAAGTGAAAGTCATATTCTCAGGATGGCAGAAAGACATCATAAACACAGGCAAAGGGCGCCTGGGTGGCTCAGTCGGTTAAGTGTCTGCCTTCGGCTCGGGTGGTGATCCTGGGGTCCTGGGATCGAGCCCCATATCTATGGGCTCTCTGCTCTGTGGGGAGCCTGCTTCTCCCTCTGCCCCTGCCTCTCTTCCTCTCGCTCTCTCTGTCTCTCATGAATAGATAGATAAAATCTTAAAAATAAACAAACAAGCAGAGGCAAAGTCTAAGGACTTTTTATTAAGATACCACAGACCTGCCCCGTCAGCTCAGGACCCCTCTATGTGATGTAGAAATAAACTCCTACTTTCTTTAAAGCCATTATTATCTTGGGTTTTCTGTCACAAGCAGCCAAAACAAATCCTAAGAAACATCCAGTCATGAAAATACTTCCAAAGAAACCTTCAAAACCTCAAATGGCCAGGGGACAACCTGGGTTGGAATCACAGACATTAGGGACATGAAGTGAATCCTGTGGGACCATTCCCTACAGCGTGTTGAGATTCTGGACACTTAGAGAGCCTGGAGCTATACAGAAGTGACCACAGAAGGTCTGAGTCCTGCAGCCACAGAACACCAAGATGAAGTCCTGGCTAGGGTTGGGAGCACTTTTGAAAGCCTGAGCCTTCCTGGTCAGGGATGGGCAGCAATAATGCAGCTGGGTCGGGAGAAGCCCCCAGCTGTGCTGCCCACCTCTGCAAACACAGCAGGCCTCCTTCCGAGCCACACAGTCCTACACCAGACTCACTCCACCTTCGCCGTCTCCGTTCCTTCCTCCCCACAGCTGTGTGCTCAGGGAGACCTGTGCAGCAGGTGATGGGCCTGCCAGGGAAGAAGACCAGCTCAGCTTATTCAGCAGGAAGGGAGGCTCATTCCCCTCAGGCAGCCAGGGTGGTTTGTCAGTGTCTCAGACTCGGTGAGGAGGAAAGACGTGGACGTGTGTGCACCTTTCATTCAGCACGTGACACCAGTCACAGGTAGTATGAGGAAAGAGTGCGTTCTCACTGCGTGATCTTGTAGAGATCCCAGACGCTCTCACATGCTCTCAGGGCCTCCACTTTGCTGACTGTTTTATAAGAGGGAGGCTGGTGTCTTAAGAATCAGCATCTTGAAGGTGGGAGGGAAGCTGTGCATTTCAGAATCCTTCCAGGTGATTCCAATGATCGGCCAGGTTTGGAAATCTCTGACTTAGAAACTTGTGTGTTCTGTGGACCTGCAGCCTTACACTGACTAGAAATGCACTTTCAGACCCTGCTTGGACTGACTGAATCAGACTCTGCATATTAACATGATCCCAGGTGATTCACTGGTTTACATCTGTCATGACTTTAAGAATATATTTAGTCATTGTCCTGGGACCCAATATAAGTACTTGCTTTCCATTTTGCCCCCCCTCCTTTTTTTAAAGATTTATTTATTTGACAGACACAGAGAGAGAGACAGAGAGAGGGAACACAAGCAGGGGAGTGGGAGAGGGAGAAACAGGCTTCCCGCTGAGCAGGGAGCCCGAAGCGGGGCTCCATCCCAGAACCCTAGGACCATGACCTGAGCCGAAAGCAAATGCTTAACCGACTGAGCCACCCAGGCGCCAATTTTGCTTCATTTTAAAAATAAAAACCACTGTGGTGAGGAGATAAGTCATAATGTTTATAAAGGGCATGGCATGAAGGGCATGAATGGCCAATCAATTCTAGCTTTGCTTTTGCTACCACTGTTACTGTTAGCTGCCATATTCATTGGCCTCGACTTACCAGAACTCAAGAGAACCACTGGGGGAATAGGAATTTCAAATTCTGAAGCAACTCTTTTTATACTTGAAACATTTTATTTCCAACCCCTAGCACGCCCACATTCTTCCCAATGAACAAAAAGCACTTGAAGTCTTGTCTTAACAGATACTCCAAAAGGCAAAAGAAAATACAACAAACAGCCTGGGACTCAAGGTCATCAACCACTGCACTGGATCAAGCCAATGGCAAAGCCAACCCCTTGACCACTTTCAGGAGAAAAGAGGCTTCTGACCCTGAGATCACTGTTCAAGGAAATAGAGTGATATCACATTCATGTGACAGAAAAATCAAGGGACTGCCCTTATCCACCTGAAGTGCTGAATGCTCCCCTAATCCTCACACTGGCATACACCCATGGCCTGCACATATGGAACAGTGGGTAACTGCTTTTTAAAGGGATTTAACCAAAGCTGAACTGCGGGAAAGCAGACGGGCAGCCACGGGACACAGTCATCAGTCCGTGTCATTGGGGCTTCTGCAGAGAGGCGGATTGGGTGGGGGGGACCCAACTCCTTCTTTTCCCTTTCCCATCTCCTCCTTCTGCTTCACACCTGGTCTTTGGGGGATGGGGGGGCGGGGTGGTGCTTAGGGCCTGGACTCTCGGTCTCTTCCGAATAAGCCAAGCCCCACTTTGGCACGTTCCTCTCATCTGTAAGTGTCAGGAGAAATGAGTCCATGGATTACAATTTCAAACACCAGCAACAGTTCGGATATTTGCTCTGGGGTTCCTAGCAATGCTGCTTTTATAAGAGACTGAAAGAGGGTGATCCGAAGCCTGGGGTCTCCCATCCTGTCCCCAGGTAATAGCTTTTGTTCTCAGGGCACAATTAAGTCACTGTTCCCTCTGTGTGTGTGTGTGTGTGTGTGTCTGTGTGTGTGTGTACCCAGTACACAATACCTTCCATTCTCTAGAACTAAAGAAAACAGGCGTTGGCATGAGTTGTCCACATTTTCCTTAATGAAATGAACAGCCCAACCCGAAATTCAAGTGCTAAACTTTCAATAGCAAACAAAAGGCTCATGTTCCAGCCCAGTCCCCTGAAACCAAGTGACTTTTCTATCAGCCTCGAACCCTGAGAGTGTTTACTTACTTATTCTTCTGTTATCAGCACGTTTAGGGGTCAGTTGCACATGTAAGCAAGGAAAACAAATTGAGCGTATGACCCTCTGGATGAAAAAAAATCGCTGAGACTCATACCCAAGACCCTATGTGTTCCAGAATGGTTTCTCTCCCTGGCCTGTCCCCAGGTCCGGAGAATCAGGCATTTCAGACACTGGAACAGGAGATTCAGTCTTTGGATTCAAATCTCCTAAAGGGCTGCCATGAATGGTGACTGTTTTCCATCAAGAAACACGGGGGAGGCGGATGTGTTACACAAGCTTTTCAGTCCTCACCCCAAAGCCCTCAGCCTGTAGGTGCAGTGTGAACCACAGACAGCCCCGCAGAGGAAATCCTATATTATTTACACTCTGTGCAACTGGCTGTTTATTTGCATAACAAAATAATAACAAGGATGGAAAAGAGCATGGCCCAACTAAAGGATATGATTATTGGCATTAAAGCAAAGTGTTCGACAATATACAAAAAGATGCACGTGGCAGATTTACATCAAAGCCACTTTTGAGATATAATAAAATCGGTTCCCCAAATGTAAGTTTTCTCTCCTTTTCTAACCACCAACTTGTAGTATTTCTCAGTGTTAATAATTAGACAAGGCTGCAATCAGAAGGGAGGTTACACAGAGAGGCCTACACAGTCAGAATAAAGTCTGTCTCCCGCAAACACAGGAGAGAAATGAGGTCAGGAGTCCATACAGTCTGGGGTACTATTTGATCCGCAGTGTTTACACCTGCTCCTTTCTGGACTGCCACCCCTCAAAAGTTCTTCTCTTATCACAAAACAACAACAACAACAACAATTATTAGGAAGTGACTCAAGTTATGTAAGGACCAACACAAAAAGTACGATGCAAACTTTCAAGAGAAGGGGCAAAAGAAGCAGATGCAGGAAAAACAAACTGCTTTTATTTCATAAGTTTTCCTAACTCATTAAGACCCAGAAACACGAACATTCTATCGCCGGAACTGAAAGCATAACTTTCAGAGGTCTCCAAGCTGTATTTTACGGTGATTTCTTTAATCCAAAAGAATAATCACAATGCGACTTACCATATTGGTCAAAGTTGTCTGGAGTCTTAAAAAGAACAAAGCAAAGGACTAAGTAGCTGTCAGGCTTGTGTTTACAGCTGTTTGGCACTGTGTCTATAAAGCACCGGGCAGGAAGCGAGGACACAAGGCCAGTGAGCTACAAAAGCTCCCACAGGGAAAGCCTCAGTTTAACCAGAAAGCGTCTGCCACACGCCCCGCCTGATCCAAGCTGCGCCCACCCCCCACCGCACATGCCTGTCGGACCCCACTCCCCCCAGCGGGGAAGAATCAGGGCACCACAGCCTTTGTACCTTACTGACACCTGTTTCAGGAACTCTGGTTTCCCCTCCAGTATTTGCCCAAAGACGGACCGTCAAGAATTTCTATCTATCAGTTGTCAATGGCATGGATGGGTGTTTGCGGGTGGGTGCCCACTCCAACGAGTACGAAAGGCCACTCACGACCTAAGCCCATGATCATCTGCGCAAGGCTGGAGGTGGGGCCTTTTCAAAAATATGGATTCCAGGGCCTCCCTCAGGGGCTGATCCTTGGACCCAGCACTGGGCATTTTCACAAGCTCCCCAGGTGCTCTGACGTGGACTAGAGGTTCTCAACCAGAGTTCTGGGGAGCCGCTGAGAATGCAGGTGCCCAGGCAGGCCTGGGACCAATTAAATCCTAATCTCTGAGGCTGGACCCAGGGAGCAGTGGCTTTTAAAGCTCCCGGTAGATTCCCAGCTGAGAACCACTGAGGCTAACACAAACTTGCACTGTTTATGCAAAACAAGGATGGCCTAAATGTGGTCTCTCCATCAAGAGGAGCCCCCTCTCCTCAAATGTTTTTCTCATCACTTCTGCTAGGTTGACACCTCCCTTCAGGAGCTGATGTGTATTCCTATAAAAACTCCTTTCTCGGTATGATGCCTGATCATCATCAGCCCACAGCCTCGGCCCAGGATCAGAAGAAGCCCCCTTCCTGTGGAGAGCTCCTCCTTCAAACACAGGGCATAGACGATGAACAAACTTCAATTTAAAAGTGCACCTGTTTTGTGACAACCCCAAAATATAAACTATGGCTCAGACAGCTCTTTTCCCCCTTCCCAAGGAATTTTGGAAAATGGTTTTTAAACAAGTTCTGTGCATCATCCGTAGTACATTTAGAGAGCCTCCCCTCCTGTATCCTGGCAGGCTGCCACCTTCAAGGTTCAGACCCAGGAGCAGACAGGATGGGGGAAGCACAGTTTAGCTGCAAGGCACCAGGCACCGCCATGCACGCTGCGCCTCATTTTCCCACTTTCTTTAGCCAAGATTCACTGAAGCTGGGAGACCAGAGCAGGCACAAGAAGGTGCCACGCATGAAAAAACATCTCCCCCATGGACTGGATTAATTAGAAACTAAATTGCTTCAATAAAACTCTTTGAAAATGCAAGTAACCCTCAAAAGAAGCTAAGCTTCATTCACCAGGCAGTGTTACTTTAACCCATTGACCAAAACTGGACGGTTATGTGGATGATTTTCGTTTTGAGCCACGGTATTTTGAAAAGAACTGAATCCACTCTCAACATTTGAAAATCTAATTCTCTGCATTGCCTAGACTTGGAAGAGCTGGGAGAATAATCACATGGTGCAAAATGGCTGCCCCTCCTTCGGATGGCCCTGTGCTCTCCAGCTGGATGCAGGCCTCACTGTTCCCTATTGCCTTATGTCTAGTCTACTTTACTACAGGCATCTGAGTTTGCAAACTCTTCTTTAATCAATGACCCTAAAAGGGCAGAACTGGTGATGGGATTTGTAATCACAGTTTTGGTCTTCTATTCATTAGCCATGAAACCCTGGATGGCCACTGTCCTCCTGGGATGGAGCATCTGTTTCTTTAGCATTACTATTCCAATTGAACAGTGATGGCTTCTCAGGGTGTTTAACGAGTACTAAAAGGAACTAAATGTGAATATGAAAGCGTTTGGAAACTATAAAGCAGTATGCACACGTAACTGACAGCTGTTTAATCCGTTCAAGGCTGCCATTTTGAAAATGTGAGTCATGTGTGGGCAGGAACAGCATGAGGGCGGTTCCAGTGGAGTGGGTCACAGATTAATGAGAAGGCAACCTGGGTACTCTAGGTGGTAGTCCCATGGGAGCAGAGATTGTAACCCCGTGCCTAGAAGAATGCAAATCTGCTGAGCGCAGGCAAACCCACCAGTGGAAATCAAGAGGATGCCCACTCTTGAGCTCAAACAAAGAAACTAGTTTGGGAGGCTGCAAAATGCATTCTCACCACCAAGCCTCCTAATTCCCTCCTTAACTTCCTAACTGATCCGGCATCTCTGATTGAGACAGGGTCTCCTGAACGACACCGGGTCTTTCCCCAACAGGAAGAAACACAGGAGGAAGGAAAGACGTAGAAGAGCTGAGAAGCTAGTCCCTTATTCCTTCCCCTCCCCCCAACAGACCTTATCTTTCTCTATATTATCAGTTTAGTAGGTTATTTGCATTTTGGCAGGATTTCCCCTTTCCAGGGCCTATCAACCGAGTCTGGAGGAGACAGCAGATGGCCTGCTACACAGCTAATTTGAGTACATATTCAAGACAATAATCAGCTACAGATTGACTTGGCACCAGCAACCACTGGAGGAGATACCCAGCATTTCTAAAGTCCGCCATGTGCCTTCCACTTTGCCTTCACTTGCTTTGCCAATACAAAGAGTATATCTTAATCTCATAATAATTTGTTTTGGAAGGAACTCTGTAGTCCATCTGTACCTTCAGATAAACTACCAACAACATGAATTCTGGGCACTTCTCTTTGCATTGGTAAACCGTCATTAACCAGCTTTCTTGCTATTTTGCTTTTTAACCAGTCACCCAAGTGTACAGGTATCAGCTCACATGCTTTCCATACAAGACCACAAGGATCTGTCCCAGGAAGGATGCTGGGTCTAACACCCTACTGACACCCTCTGTGTGCCAGGACAACTTTTCTCTATTCAGCTGTCCACTGCTGTTTGCAAATAAGAAAATGAGGTTGGGGACGCCTGGCTGTGTCAGTAGACTATGTGACTCTTCAACTCCGGGTTGTGAGTTTGAGCCCCACACTGGGTGTAGAGATCTCTTTAAAAAAATAAAATCTTCAGAAAAAAAGAAAAGAAAAGAAAATCACATTGGCCTGATATGACCACTCCTCATGTTCACTGCTTTCCTTTCATCCTTCTAAGACCCCAGCCAATGTATCTATCTGTCCCTCCTAGTTCCTCTTGTTCAGAACATAGGTCTACAAACTCTTTTGTTTGTTTCTGTATTTATATTTCTCACCATCAGCCAGGTATCATCTAGGCTAGTTCTACAGTGAAGAGTACTTATATAATTGATGCTCCCCACTTTATTTTTGGTAGACCCTTATTTAGAGCATTCCTTTCCCCCCAAATATTTATCTCCTTCCACCATGTCTCTGCAACTGGAGCACCCTTAAAATGATCAGGCTCCCTTTAGTCATCATATTCTGTACTGTGTGGCCATGGGCACTGCTGTCAAGGCTCATCCCTATTATTTTTCTCCAAGAACCACTGAAGACCTATGTTAACCACTGATCATCTTTCTTGGGCATGTGAGTTATCTTCTGTGGCCTCGCTACTGAAAAGTGTGGACTGTGGGAATTTGTCAGACATGCAGATTCTCAGGCCCCTCTCCAGCTCCACTAAATCAAACCCTGCATTTGACAAGATCCCAGGTGATTCGTGTGCACATTCATAAAGTTTCAGAAGCACTGCTGAATGGTCTCCATTTATACCCAGGACTTGACAGCCATGTCCCAACACCCAGCACAGTGCTCACCCTCACATAGTAGTTATTCCCCACACCTTGTCACCCAATAGACCCCCATGCCCATGGTGTGCCAGGAACTGAGGAGGGGCCCAAGAGTCAATGAAGGACAGGAAACAGCCTCTTCCCCTAGGATGTTAGCATCTGACGGGAGATACTAACCTGTAAACAACCACAGGGCCATGGAGAAAGTGCCAATAATGGAGATGTGTCTCGAGGACCGTGGAGAGTCAGGAGAGGCACCTGGGTCTCGAAGACAGGAAGAAGAAGTTCAAAGGAAGGAAATTCTAGACTGAAGGAATAACATGGGCAAGAAGATGCCAAGAATTCACGACGTACTGGGAATGGTAAGAAGGTAAGAAGGCCACTTGCCTAGAGTAAGTCGCAAACCTAGGTCTAAAACCCAGGCTGCTTTCCTGGGCCAGATCCTGTAGACTAAAACCACTCAACTCAGTGGCCCAAATAACAACTGTGACTGGCTCCCAGTCCTAGGAGTGGCAGCATGGGCTCGGCTCAGCTGGGCAGGTCATCCACACCCTGTGGTGCTATCTGGGCTCATCCGCGGGTCTGCAGTCCAGTGGGACTGGCTGGGGCTGGTGGTGCATGCTGGCCATCAGCTGGGCCTGTTGCCCCACATGTATCTCCTCCTCCAGGGAGGCTACTCAGATCATCTTTACGTGGTGGTGAAGTGTTCCAAGAGAGCAAAGCCTAGCCTTAGGAGTCCCACAACATCCCTCTGCAGGACTCGGCTGGTCAGAGCAAGTCACAGGCCTGCCTGGATTCAAGGGGTGGGGAACAACAGCGGAGCCAAACTGCCAAGGGGTGGGGCACGGGGAGGCATGGCTCTTTGGGGACTATGAATGTTACAGTGCACCGGAGTGGAAAGATACATGATTAGTGCCTGTGTTCACACTTTATCTGTGAGCCCCTTAAATTCAGAAGCATTCAAGGAGCTTAAAGTTCTGTTTGCCTTTGTACCCCCAACGGCGATTCCCATGGTTCTTTCTAGTGGGTGCTTAATAAACTCATGTGGATTAATTAAATTCTCACAAACGCACATACTCAATAAACTTAGGAACTGGAGTTTACCAAGAGAGAATGCTCAAAGGTACAGTTCATGAAGAATAAAAAGCCTCTTTTGCTTATAAAAAGTGTCAAGAAGACTTAGAAGAAGAACATGACCATTTCACAAAAAGCATCTGACCTGAAATTCACCAGGAACAAGTCTCCAGGCAGACTGCTGCTCTCCTTACAACCTTCACTCCAAATCCCATCATTTGTCAGGAAGGACGTAACAAAGTTTAAGAGGTCAGCGTCTGCTTTAGGTTCCATAAAAAAAAGCAGAGCAAGTCATCATGTCCAGGCAGAATCCTCTTTAAATCACTCTTTAAGCTTAATATAGAGCAAATTGTCTTTGCTCTGCAATAGGAGCAGGCCACTGTTTCAATCTGTCTTCCTAATTTGGGCACCTGACAAGCTATCATTTTATGAGTTAGACTTGGCAAGATTTATCTCCTTCTGGACACCGTGCCTGAGATTAAGTGAAATAATACGGTAAGAGGTTATATGGGCAATCTCAACTTTCTTCAGGTGTAAATAATGTAGGTTCTTGGGTTAGCAACAACCCAGTTCCCGACCCTTTTTCTGTAAAAATTGAACTCTTTACAAAAATAACTACTACGGCAATGCTATCCATCACTATTCAGAGTCCTTTCTACCATCACATGGTAGGAGGGCACCTCCATGTTCTTCAAGTGAGGTGAGGCCACGTGACTTCTTTCGCTCAATGAAATGGGAGCTGAAGTACCTGTGCTGGTTCCCAATTAAAGCTTCAAGAGCTAGTGCTCAATGTGCCACACGCTCTCCCTTCACCAACACGACTGAGATTTTCCAGAGGGTAAAGGCTCCATTAGCTGTGTTCCCAGAGTCAGAATACGTGAGACAGAGCCACCAACTAACTCACTTTAGCCATCGGTGTTGTGTGTTACACAGCGGCATGACTTTGCCCATCCTAACTCACTGTAACTACAGTGAACATGTAACTATCTTTAACTGCTATGTTTTAGAAAGTGATGGGTCATTTTAAGCAAGATGACTCCTGGTTTTAGAGTAGCTTAAATGCTAGTAACTGCTCTACTCCTCACTTCCCTCTGGCTAGTCACTCCTCCTTCTCTCTTCTTGCTTGCCTTGAGTTTAGGAAACTGCTTTCTTTCCCTTCTTTGCAAGAAAGCCACGGAAGTTATTGGGTTAAGGGAGAGAACTTGGGGCATATCAAGTTCCTTCCCTACAACAGGACGTTTGCCTTGACTCCTTTGATAGCCATCCCCAAGTCTGGATCACGGGACCAGAGGACACTGACGTTGCCCGCTGAGGTCATCTCATTCATAATCTTGACCCCAACAGGCAAAGGGTAGGCCACTTGCCTAGAGTAAGTCGCAAACCTAGGTCTAAAACCCAGGCTGCTTTGCTGGGCCAGATCCTGCAGACTAGCCCACCCCCCCACCACTAGTGCATGCACTGTGTGGAGCCCCAGTTCTTCCTCCCTGCCTTCTTCCTCCCCTGGAATCTGAACTTGGCCTCTTCTGCCTCTGTACAGTTGGTCTGTGGGCTCCTGGGCCTGAGTCTCCCCAGCAGGTGTCTTTTCGCTGGTCCTACAGCTTCATCTCCTGAAAGGCCAGCTCCTGGGTGGCCCTCTGCTTCCAGCCACTCAGAAACAAAGCTGTGACTGGATTCTCCAGGGTTCCCACGGGGCACTCAGGGACTCGGCCCAACCACTCAGTTGCCGCTTCACTCCCATTAGGACCCAGGACTTCCTACAGTCCCATCAAGCCCTGCGCCCCTTCCTTCACAGGCCCACACTGAAGCGCACAGAAGGATTGAGTTACATGTCTGCTCAAACCCTGGGTATCTGTGCAATCACAGGCTCTGCAAACCAGCT